CTCTATGCAGGATGTGTGAACAGGAAGATGAGACTGTCAGGCATGTCCTGTGCGAGTGCCCGGAGTTATCGTCAATAAGAGAGTGTGTGTTCGGCGAGTCTTGGCCTACACCTGCCGATATAAAGGAGATGTCTCCCAGCGACCTGTCCACCTTCCTGGAAAGGACAGGATGGACGATGACCTAGGAGGACAACTCCTCGGAAAGATGTACAATGGGTCACATGTGGCCTAAGTGCGTGGGCTTATACTCACCCTCCCTACTCTACAGATACAGGTACAGATAATAAAAAACGAAAAATGAAAAATTTCAAACCAAGTTACGTCACGACGTTTCCACAATCGTGTTCGATTGATAACCGTTTTCAATTACAATTACAATTACAATTACAATTCAATTTCATATTGAACAATGGATTCTCAAACAGTTTTCATAAATAGACGAAATGATTCAAGCTAAAGGTTTATGTGTAATTCATCAATGTATTGTGTAAATTGATTGAAAAACGACGATATTATTCGCGACTGTTACTCGATAAGCTATCATTGAAAACATTGAAAATCTCTTTGAAAATACAACGAAACAATTCCTGCTATATTATGCTTTTTTCACGAGAAAACAAAGAAGACCATGATGTCTATTTTCAGAAGAATGCTCATCGTAACCATTTGAAATAATGCTATTCAGACATACGATATTGATCCTAATCGATCATCATGATTATCTTTTATACTATACAGATCGAATCAATGTTTTAGGACTTCTGACTGTTTTCTGAGTATGAAACCTTCCAAAATCTGAAAAATGAACAAAGCCCAATCAATAGAGATACTTTTGAAGTTTACAATAAAAAGCAAACTTAAAAGTTCACCCTGAAACGTTACTGCGTAATATAAATCACTGAAGAGCCCAACTATTGATGAATATTGCCCACATATTGAAATTTTTTTTTCGATATTTGGCTTTCTCTACAGATCATTGTTTCGGAAAACAATATTTTTCTATTATCAAAACCCACAATTCACAAAACTTTCCCCTCAAATCTGTTTAAATCTATTTAAAATCTGTTTTTCCGTTAATCAGCTGTCGCCCCCATACAAATTGTAGAAAGCTCCAATTCTCTTGACATATATCGAAAAAATGAAATGTCTAAATGTCGTATACGATAGTCTACATAAATACATATACTGAATATTTTTTGAAAATTCAGTTAAAATTCATATTTCCGTTTTCAACCTCTCGTCCTCGCAGCCACAGAGCTATTTGAAATTCACGTGTTACTTGCTAAAATAAAAGATGCGTCTTGGAGAATAAGGAACAAGATGAATTGTCAATGAAATTTTTCAGTGTTTCAAACCGTAATTTTGAGTTTTATAGGTTCGTGATGATTGTGGAATCTGTATAAGTTGTGCTTTCACTAACTTCATTAAAACTTTTCCCACAAACTCCTACAAATATGCACTTTGCTCCAAAACCATTTCAATTATAGTAATTTCCTCTTTTAGATTATGAACTGGATTGCAAACTGACTTTGCTCATACACACATCTCACTATACTATTTTAATTTGATTAGATTTATAGTGAGATACCTTAGGATGAGTTTTTTCCCATCAGCACTCGTATCAAGAGTACTTATCGATTTATTGATCATAACATCGACAAGAGGAAGTTGATAATGAACTTTTGAATTCAGTTCAGTTCTATTTTTCAGATGACCAAATTCTTTTAATTCAGTTCTTACAATTCGCAGGGCTTCATCAAATCGGAATATTGGTGAACAAACTATCATTGAAACGTTTCCCGAGCAAGACGCATATCCGGAGCAGCTTGTGGAAAGAGCTCTCAATGAAGTGGGTAAAAGCAATACACAACATATACAAATTTTATAATCATCACAAACCCAAGAACATATCCAACTACATTATATTCCCGGTTCGACTGAGAAATTGAGACTAATCGGTTAGAGATATAATGTAAGAACTATATATAACAACTATATACCAACACATTGAGATTTCTTTTTTAACACAAACGAAACCCGAAAAGACGGTTCAAAAAACGATGGATTTCATTAACAATAAATACATATATTGTAAATGGATAGGATAGGATATTCTGAAATCATCTGGTAGCCGCGCTATAAAATGAAGTGAAACAAAAATTATCACCAAACAAACTATCGCAATATGATATCTGGACATCTTATCCTTCTGACGTATGTCAAAAAGAATTGAAGCTGTTTACAATTTGAGACGAAAGTTTCGAAGTGAATTTTAGGTTTTGATAACGGAAAAGGATTGTTTTCCGAAACACTGAACACTAAAGAAAGCTAATTATAGAAATTAAATTTTCTTCAGTTTGTGGCAAAATTTATGAACACGATGAGTCATTGACTAATTAGACTTTTCAGTGGTTTATATCAGGTAGTTCCTTTGCCCTTCAATGGCCCCTTTGCCCAAAGAAACAATGAGAAGTATTGAATCCTTCACAAAAATGTTTTTCAAATGATGTACCTATTTGGAGTTATCACACTGAAATCGAATTGAAACCAAAGTACTAGAAAATGAGTTCAAACGGACTGGCCTGATAAATCGATTCGACACGTGTGATGAAGAAAGGTTTCAATTGCGTTTTAACAAAGTGAGTCATTTGGAAGGTTGAACTCGCATTTTTTGTTTTGTATTTTTTTGTTGATACGTATTCACGTTTTTCGATATTGAAATTGATAGCTGTAAACAAACTTTTGTTTGAGTGAATTTCATCAAAGGTCCTATTATTTACTAGCTGAAGCACCCAGCTTCGCTCAAAAAGTCCATTTGAGATTATGTTTTAGATGAAATAAAAGAATACATTTTNAGGAGTGAATAATTTTTGGGAAAAAAAGTTTTTGGCTTCCTTCTACACCATCTTGATACAAAAAAAAGACGGAGTAGTAGAGAGCCAAAAATTTTCTTTCCCAAAAAATGCATTTCATATTATTGAATTTAGATACTTTCTACTGATCTAATATCCATTCGTTATAATATTTTTCAATTCATTAGTTTCTGTCTGATAGCATTCCTTCTTCGTAAGACTCGACAAACTCCACCTTCTGTGGGTGGGAGATTTTCCAATATGAAAGATGATTTATATATACTGACGTATCCGAAGAAGTAAATGGTACCGGATGTGCTGTTACTAGACTCGATGCAATAATAGCAACATACAAAGTTCCCAATGTCTGTAGTATACACATAGCTGAACTATATGGAATATTACAAGCGTTGAGGTCTCCAATTCAAGATAACAGTAGACTTGCCATATACACAGACTCCCTTCCATCAATATTCTCTATCAAAAATAGTTACTCACATCATCCTTTGGTTCAAGATATCCTCTACACCTGCCACCACCATCGTACCAGAGGTGTCCTTGTGAATATCATCTGGATCCCTTCTCATGTAGGAATTACGGGCAACAAACATGCAGACCAAGCAGCTGAATAAGCTTGTTCCTCCGAATTGCCAGAGGAGCAAATCCAATTCCATCAAGACTTGAAATCAGCAGCTCGACAAATGATGATACAAACATGGCAAACACATTGGAACACATGTACCACCAAACTACATACAATCCAACCCACAGTTTCGGCGCTGGACCTGCCCCCAATGACAGGAAAGTACAGAAGTGTTATAAGAAGACTAAGAATAGGCC